CCCCAAAACCCCAAAACCCCAAAACCCCAGACTAGAATTTCCCGATTGAAACTCAGATTTAGAATAGACCTGTGAGAGAAGAGGTGCTGGCAAGAAGTGAAGGGTAGGTTTTTAAGAGGTGAGGGGTAGGGGAGTAGGAAGTGGAAGGGGGAGAAGTCTTAGGGGTGAAGGTAGGGGGAAGGGGATAGTTAAGGAAGGGTTGGGGTAGAGAATGGTGTGTAGGAGGGATTTTAGGGAATTTTTGGATGATTGGTGGATGGATGGATGTGAGGTTAGAAGTATTTTAAGAATTTCTTATGGGGTTTTGATAACATTAGTGAGGTTTTGAGGAGTGTTCGGTAAATTGTGAAATTTGGGAGTGGGCTTCATGGAAAGGAGTGGAGAAAGCTCTGGATCAATGAAGAGGGGTTTGAGTGGGAATGTTGAGTGCTAGAGAGGTTAAGATTATATAGAGGTTAAGATGATGTAGAGATTCAGATGATGTAGAGGTTAAGATGATGTAGAGGGTAAGATGATGGAGAAGTAAGGAAGCTGATGGGAGAAAAATAAGGATGAAAGAGAAAGAATGAGGTAAGGCTGGAAGGCCTTTTATTAAGATTTTTGGAAGATTTGTTTTTGGTTAAAAATGGGTGTTGGAAATATTTGTGAGAAGAAAAATACATTTTTCAAAAATTAAAAATAGCTTCCTAATAACTGTCTGAAAAATATAACTCTATAAATAACAGAGAATACTGATATCCTACTCAAAGATGTCTTTAATGCTTTCCTTTTAAGTTTTATTAATAATAATACCTTCTAAACTAAATAAAAATTGAAGGTCTGATGGATGATACCAGATAAAGAATTTTCTGATAAAAAGTATTATTAATGGAAACTGAAATGCTAGACTAATCCCCCTATTAAAACCATGAGTCTTAATGAAGGATTTGGGTTGATCTTTCTTAGTCTAGGAACCATAGCTAACAATGCAGATCAGAATTTTATCAGAATGAATGAACAGTTAATTAAACCATTCTTACATTAAACTTATTCTCAAGGTCAGAAAAGAAGTAATCCGATAAAATATTAACAGTAGGTTTAATAGCATATGAAAATAGTAGAACGTTTTCTTTTAGGCTAAGCTTAGCATTAAATTTAAGAGAGTTTTTGGGTTAAGGCTCTGGCTGTTTATATTAATGACTGAGCTAAACTTACACTCCGCATCTATCACCTTCATCTCTATGGTCTATTATGATCTGTAGCTTTTATGAGGATAGTTTTTACTATTTTAGCTATCAAGACTTTGAAGTATCATAAATATTGTCTCTGAGAGATGCAGTTAATATTCACAGTTAAAACTAAGCAATTAAAACACTTGATTAATGACTATCTCTGGCATCATAAGTTAGGTAGGCCTTCCAGTGCTTACAAAAATGATATAAATAATAATAATCTCTTCTGAAGCTATTGGAATGTTTTGGTAATATTATTTAAAACTAATTCTAATCAGGTTTAAAATTAACCATTTATACTTCACAGTAATGCAATTTGATATAACTTGCACTAACCCTTGATCCTAATTTCTTTATAAAAATATGCAAAAGAGAGGGAAGCAATTTTATCCTTCGTGATCCTGGAAATATAATACAAGTAATTTTAAAGCTTACTTTTCAAGAGATTCGCTAAATTTTTAACCCTACTCTTCCCTCAAAATTTCCCTTAATCTCCAAACCTATCTTACCTCCTACTTGCCCACTTCCAAATGTTCACCCGTTCCACCTCTTTTTTTCATCTAAAAACTTCCCTCGAACACAAATTCCTCTCAACTTTTGCACGAAAGCTTACATCTTGCACACAGATTTCCTCTGAACCCTATATTTGTTCATCTCGTCGGGTTCAAATTTTCATCTGTGGCTTACTCCGAAGGCGAGACCTAGCCTTTGGAGTAGGCCTGCTGAGAGATTTTAGAATTGACGGGTCAGAATGGAAGATTTGGGTGTCGTTAGGTTAGAATTTGTTAACAACAGAAAAGAAGTAAGTAGGGGTAAAACATGCAAATATCTACCGTGATGGATATTGAAGGTGATGACTAAACTGGAAGTTGAAGGCTTTAAGGAAGGAAGTAGTTTGGTATGATTGTGAGTTTTAATTAGATTTTTTATAGAATTGGTCTGGAGATTCATGGGATGCCCATTTTATTCTATACATAATCACTATTAAATAAAAAGTACTCTTCTAATCTAAATCATTTTTAAAAAGAATAAAGGCTAAAAAGTATCCAAAACTGTTTCAAACCTTCTAAATGATTATGAAAACTCAACGACCAAAGGAAGAATCTAATCTCTTAGGTTTCCCAAGGAGATGATTATTAATAATAAAGAAAATTATGATAACCTCTTATTTTTTAATCTTATGATCAGCATGATGATTTGAAATACTGAATTATTTTATCGACACAAGAAAAGGAATATTAATAAAGCTGTCTTTAGGAATACTTTGCCTCATTTAGGATGGCCAATAATAACCTCCCAATAAACCTACCTATTAATTAAACTTTTATTGCTTGAGAAATTCGCAATCCTTTGACTAAACCAGTGATTCTAATCTAACTTCGAGAACGCTAACTAGATATAAGAAGTCTATTATTGTTAAATAAATTACTTTGATATACCTTGTCGGAACCTGAAGACATTTCTTCTTAAGTAACATGAGAGAAGATTTAATAATTTCAGAATCTTAAGCGGACCACATTTTAAAAGCTTTACTAATGATCTCTGGTTCACTCTAAGAGGATAAAATACAACTCAAAGCAAGTCAGAGCCCATTTTATTTATAAAAACATTCTAAAACCCCTCCAAGAGTAAATATTTGAAACTGTTTCAAAAAAATCAGTTAGAAAAAGTTATTTAAACCAGAGTATGCTTCTTGAGAACTAGCTATCATAATAACCTGACTTGCAGGTATTATTAAGTTGAAGGGCTAGCTTTTTCTAAAGTTTTCTGTAGGATATCTGATAAATTCCCCTCATTTTGAGATATGAATCCTCTTCATAAAGTCTGGAGAACAGTTGAGTTTAATCACAACTCAAACTTGGTCAATGAGAATCTTTTAGTTGCTTCTAAATAGTTATAGATTTCGTTTTTAGTCTCTTCGGTTCACTCAAGCTCCAATGGTTGCTTAATTCCTCAGATACCGATTGTGAAGTAGGCCAAATCATCGGTTACGACACCTCCAGGAAGAATAGTAAGTAGGATCTTTTTCATTGATTTTAGAATTATTTGTGAATCACAGTTAATATATCTTCTCTTAATAATCTCAGGGTTCTGAACCTTAAACAAGTCTTTGTAAAACTGTTTTATTCTTCGACTAACTTTCTTCACTTCCATATCAGCTCTCTTCTTAGCTCCCTTAATTCAATTTTCTCTCGAAATTAAGAAATTTCTCTCAAGAGACGACTCTTTCTCAACTTTCAAACAGACTTCTAACTCTCTATCAGACAAGAAAGCATGATTAGAAGCATCTTTAGTCGCTGGGTGTTGAGACGAAACTTCCTTCCCATTCAGAACATTTGTTGAATTTTTCACTTCGAGTTCATCAGCATTTGTGATTCTTTGACTATAGAACGTCTCGAAGGAAATTATGTTCTTTTTAATTACATCTCTGACAGAATCAGAGTTGGCTTGCCCGAATCAACTCCAGTCTGATAGGATTTGGCTATTCTCCTATGAAAAAGAGTAAGCATTAGGAGTAAAAAATGTGAAAGTCTTATTAGAATGGAAGAATTATATCCGAATGCGATATATTAAGGCAGTTACGGAACTCCAGTAATTCATAAATCACTGAGTCTTACCTTTTGCTCAGGGGTTCCAAAAGTTTTAGCAAACACATTGTCATAGTACAGAGGATCTTGGGCATAATCCACTTGGTCTTCAAATAACAAATTCTCTTGGCTCTGTTGCTCGATGTTTTGAAATAGATAATTCATAGTATATTAATTTATTTATACAATACGGAGTTTAAATCATGGGGTTTTGGGGTTTTGGGGTTTTGGGGTTTTGGGG